CCGAGCAATCCACTTTTGCCATGTCTTTCTATACTTAATGATTGTTCACGCCCTCTAGCAGTTGATTCATGTCGCGTTGCCCGTCATAGCTAACGCATCCAGGCCTCAATTACTGCGTCTGACGTTAACTATACGAGCTGACATTCTAAGGAAAATTACCGAAATCCGCATGACCTATTTGAACCCACGAACTTAAAGACGTTATTGCAAATGCACTGGCTGAATGCAAATAATCTATGTCTTTTTCGTATTCCGTAAGTTTGTATGTTGACATGAAAGCTGTCAAAAGTTCTGACATTTGGCATCATCTAGCGACCTTTTTACATATATGTGCGTGGTAGCTCAGTCTTACATGATGTTACATTTTTGCAACTTTATCGGGTGGCTGAGGTTCTCTTAACATTCGACGCCTTTATCAGCCCGCATTACGCGTATGCAGCTAACATTAGTATTACGAACGAGGTTTTTTCCCGTACCTGACTCCTAAAGTAGGTATCGATGTGAGGATAGAGCTGTATGACCGAATTCACAGAGCTCTGTTATTGAAAGGTGCTTGCGAGAACTTTTATCACGAACTCCAGGCAAGTTGACATTGAAACCTGCCCCGTCCTCGCAGGGTCTGTCATGGACATTCGGCATGACAAATTGAATCGACTCCTTGGTTTGCCTGAAGTTATTAGACCAGGATTAATGATCATCCGACTTCAGCACTCGAAGGAACATCCACTCACCTAAAATTTATTATTTTTGACTAAGCGATAAGGATTGACAAATATATTCTGCCACTACCTGCGTCCGTACCGATTATTTTTTGTTCATGCGTCGCAATAAAATGGAAGCGGTTGAGGAGAATGATGCTAGGGTCAAGGTTTATATCACGGTATTTTTGCTGACCTTAAAAATAAATGTAACCTCGGCATAGTTTAAGTATTCTTGTATGGTTATTTCTTTCCAGATGACCGTGAGGATCCTGCAAGTCTAGCAGATAAAATTGTTTTTGTAGCAATTGCATCCTTTTCTGTGACGTCCTCTTTGGCTTTGGCAAGTATACTCATGCCATCCCAAAGCATGGCTGATCTCCGACCTGGCCACTCTATTACATTTAAAAAGTTCACAACTGTTGGTTGTGCTGGGACATTACGAACTTCGCCCGTCATCCGATAACGCTTCATTAGTTGTCATATTAGTAAACATTGTGTGAGAAGCCATATACTGCACTGGATTTACTTACTTGTACTTGTTACGGCTGCGATCATGACTGATCTAGC